GAACTGAGCCCCAACACCCCACACGCTTTGTAAAATAGGCAAGGGTAGACATGGTGCTTCAGCTGTTTTAGGATTTATAAGAGGTGATGCAGCTGAAATTTTTTGGCAGGTAGGAATGCTAATACCTGTCAGTACACAGCGCTTACTTCTAACTGTGGTCAGGGATCACTCCTAGCAGCCTCCCAGGAAAGTATGGGGTTCTGGGGATTGAACCTCAAATCAGCCACTCCTTACACATTACTGTCTCTCCAACCCTGAAATTCATATTTTAAGAAAAGTTACAATCCTGTGAACAAAGAAGGAGATTTAATTGCATCCAAAAAATAAGGCTGGCTGGAGAGAGGTAGAGCAGTTGCCTTGCACACAGCTTACCCAGATTTGATCCCCAGCACGGATCCCCCGGGTACTGCCAAGGTTGGCCTAAACAAAAATATAAGGCACTCGTGTAAATATACTTAGATGAGTTGCTACCAAACAATTTGCATTGCAGAACAAACATATTCGAACCAGCCCTTAAATGATTAAGAGATTTATTAGAAAATGTATTCTCATATATATATATATATAATTGTTTTAAGTAATCCTGCTTTTACTCAGAGAAATACTACATAGATTTTTTTTGGCTTATGATAAATATTTAATAAAGAAGAACTTTTCTGTTATAATTATTACCAGACATATATTATATTTAAGCTGTTACATTTTAAATTTTAAAGAAATAGTTGAACCACAGTGAGATACACAGTTATAAAGGTATTCATGATTGGGTTTCTTTCATACAAATTTCCAGTATCTGTCTCTTCACCAGTGTACAGTGTACATTTCCCCCCACCAGTATCTCGTTTCCCTTCACTTCCCTCTGTGCAGGCAGTGTTCTGCAACTCTTTGTCTCTCTGTTTCCCTCTCTCACTCTCTCACCCTCCCCACACCTCAACACCCCTCCCCAACCTTTTTTGGGTGTAATGGTTTTCTCTTAGCTCTTCTTAATGCAACATAACTTTGATGCAAAGGATTTTATGATGCCTCGGTAAACCTTTTTAAAGGCTTTTGAAACACCCCTGTTTTATAATGGAAATGGAGGTGTCAGTAATTCGAGCAGTCCTTTTCTGGGATTGTACAGGTAGTGAATGGAGGTAACATGTGCATGAGTTTGACCTAGTAGAGCTTGACCTAGTAGTTTGACCTAGTATCTTTTGACATAGTAGAGTGAACAAGATAAAGTTCATTAGAAGCTCTGGTAAAATTCTCTTGTGATGTAGGACGGTTGATTTCCAGTTAATATTTTTAACTTAACAGTATTTAACTTTCTGTGAACTTTGAGGAATTTGACTCCCACTGAAAGTTGAGAAAGATAAGTACAGTAGAACTTGAGTTCAGAAATAGCTTGAATAGTAGACCAATGGAAGTATGAGACAGCTGCAGGAAAATTTTTGTGGTGGTGATATATACTAGGTCTTGAAAAATATCTTAGTATTTAGATACTAAGGAAACCTTTTCTAATAGTGGTGCAGAGATTTTAGGGGCAAGAGATTTAATACTGGGGTAAGGCTCTTGCCTTGCAGTGAGTTGGCTTAGATTTCCCCCAAGCACTGTGAGGAGTGTTCCCTGAGCACAAAGCCAGGAGTTAGCACCTCCCCCCATTACACACACACACACACACACACACACACACACACACACACACACACTTTAAGCTAGTTTTAACGCATTTGTATTGTGTACAGGACAAATTACACACCTCTTGATTTATTAATGTTGAAGCAAGTGGCAATAAAAAGAAGGCTCCTGACTTCTGGGTAGAGACATCTGTGTATCTGTATATAAATAAAATAATAAGAGGTAGCTTTAGCTGTGATCCAGTAGTGAGAATGGCAAACCAAAACTTGGGAATGGATTTCTAGAAAAAGTTGATATTCTCAACTCTGATATTTGGGTACATTTCTTTCAAAATCAGGATATCACATGCAAGGCAAGCTCTATGACTGAGCTACTTTACCTGGCCCTATGTGGGTAAGAATTGTAAGATTGGAGAGTATTGCATTTGACTATTGGTTTGAAACAGACACAAGGTGAATCCTATTTGAGGTTTTTAGTTTTTTGGTTTTTTTAGCTTTTGGGTCATACCTGGCGATGCTCAGGGTAACTCCTGGTTCTACACTAGGGGATTACTCCTGACAGTGCTTTGGGAGACCATCTGGAATGCCAGGAATCAAACTCGGCTTGGGTGTGTGCAAGACAAGTTCCCCACCCACTGAATTATGTCTCCAGCCTCTCTTTGAGGGTTTTAAGGCATGAACTTACATACTTTCTGTGATTGATAACATTGACAACTTTTAGGGGTAAAATTTCAAGTTTAGGACAGAAGTGTGGGTCCTGTTGAGTGAGGGGGATTGGGAGAGAGATGCAAATAGTGCTGGTCAAAGGAAGGTAAAATACCCAAGCCACACTGCTACCTGGAAACAGCATATTATAGAGTTCAGTGTGTGGGTCAGATCCAAAGCTAAACACACCCACTAGCACAACATGCTTGTGATTATGAAGGTGTTTCTTAGTGTGCGACTCTACTAAAATGTGGACTGACTTGGGAGCCAGAGAGATAGTACAGCAGATAAGGCACTTGCCTTGCATGTGACTATTCCTGGTTTGATCTCTGGCACCACATATGATCACCTGAACTCCACCAGGGTTTATCTCTGAGCACAGAGCATTGTGGTAGGTTCTGAACCCCTGTTGTGTGCCCCCCCCCAAGTGATTTAAAAAATATATAAAGTAGTATGCATGATTCATGATAAAGGCATGAGGTTTAGTGTTTTGCTAACTGAAGTTTGGAAAGCTGACTAAAATTTGGGAGAGGTAGGAAGCCTGAATATCTGAAGAAATCTTGATGTAAAATGTTGGTTATATAGATGGGTGTCTGCACATATGTGCCTGCACATAGACTAGTTGAAGGTGTGTAGTAGGAATGGACCTTTATCCCTCATATAGCACTGTGTCACTGTCCTCTTGTTCATTGATTTGCTCGAGCGGGCACCAGTAACGTCTCTGTTGTGAGACTTGTTAACTGTGTTTGGCATATCAGATACGTCACGGGTAGCTTGCCAGGCTTTGCCATGCGTGCAGGATACTCTTGGTAGCTTGCTGGGCTCTCTGAGGGGCGTGAAAGGCAAACGCCCTACCTGCTGTGCTATTGATCTGGACCAATTCCTCAAATACTATTTGTAAGTAGCTTCTAGATAAACAAAGTTGATCAGAAGATACAGGGTCGGAATTTGAAGAAAGAAAAGGTACAGTCTTTTTTGAGGGGGGCAGATTTGGATCACACATGGTGACCCCTGGCTACTTCCAGTGGCATTTGGGGAACATCCTGTGCTGGGCATTTCACCCAGGTCTCCCTCATACAGAGCATGGCACCAGTCCTATGGGCTTTCTCCCCAGTTCAAGTACCAGGTGTTAGAAAATCTTCCCTTTGGTTGAGTTTTTGTCTGAATTTAAGGTGTGATTGACACATAACACTAGTTTTAAATACACACCACAGTGATTCTGTATTTATTACCACATAAGACTAGTTAACATCTGTCACAATATGTAGTTGCCAATACACTTCTCTTGATGAGAGGTTTCAGTATAACCTTAGCACCCTTCAGAAATGCAACATGTATTTGAAATAATTTGAGTAATAATATGTATTAAGTATAATTCCTTTGCTGTATATTACATCCCCAATGGCAGTTTATAAATTTTTATAAGAGAAATTTTGTGCCCTTTAACCCCCCCCTGCACCCATTCTGCCTTCTCTGCATTTGCCTCCTGCACTCCCACTGCAATGCCTCTAGCACTGTCTTTTCTTTTTTGGAGGAGAGGGGCATACCTGGCAGTGCTCAGGGATCAGTGCTGGTGGGCTCAGAAACCATATGGAGTGCTGGGGATCGAAGCGGGCTTGGATGCATTACGACAAATGCCCTACCAACTGTACTATCTCTTCAGTCTCAGAGCTGGGTTTTTGTGGGATAGGGTGGAGTTGGCAGGATAGAGTAGTTTTACAAGTGAAATTTTAAAGTATCAGTCTTGACTCTTTTCTCTTAGTATAATTCTTTGAAGATTCATCTATGTTTTGTCACAAATGACAGGATTTTTAGATTGAGGTATAGGGAGGATTTCAGCCACACACCCTCCTGTGCTTAGGGCTTGCTCCTGGCAGTGCCCAGGGTATGGTTTATGGTGCCCACGATCAAACTCTGGTCAGCTCTGTGCAAGGCAAGTGCCTGACCTGTTGTACTCTGGCTCCAAGATTTTATTTTTTTTAGCGGGTTGATAGTCTTTCATTGTGTATTCTAATAATATTTATTTATTGATACACTAACATTTAGTTATTTTTCGAATAATCATTTCAATGTGGTAGTAAATGAAAATAGTATTTAAAGATGTAAAAAGCTAATGTAATATTTAATATAGTTTCAGTTGGAGACAAACACAGGTACCAATGATGCTTACATGTATGTTGCTAGCCTGCAGGATAGAAAACGGGTTTCTCTATGTGTGCGTGCGTGTGTGTGTGTGTGTGTGTGTGTGCGTGTGTGTGTGTGTGTGTCTGAAAATAAACATGGCAGTTGTTCTTATCCAAGCTCAAAGTCTCAAGGTCATCTGAAAATCATAACACTGACGAGTAAATTAATATCTTAGTCTTTTTACAGGAATGAAATAATGGCTCAAGGTCTTCCCCAATGTGCTGGAGGTGTGTTTCAGTGGTAGAACGCATTTCTTGCAGTGGAAGGCCCTGACTTGATTCCCTGGTACTGGACGGGAAAGAACTTTTTTTTTTTTTAAATCAAGTAATAGCGTTTACCCAGTTATGTTTTTCCACAGTCCATCTTTCAATCCTAAAGTTCACTCTGTAACCATCTCTTTCAATTAAGTGTGATATTAGCTCTGATGCAGAGCATCAGCTAGATAGCTCTTCTCTGAATCCCCAGAATGCTAATGAGAGTGATCTGATGTTTCAGGAATACAAGCGCAAGTTAGCCAGAGTTTCCTTGGTGCGCAAAGAACTCAGGTCCCGGATCCAGAGCCTGCCAGACTTATCTCGCTTGCCCAACGTCACGGGGAGCCACATGCACCTGCCCTTTGCGGGAGACATCTACAGTGAAGATTGATGACCAGTCTCTTTCCAGGGCCCAGGACTTTGCAAAAGATGGAGACAGGTTAGGTGGATAGTCCTGTAGCGTTATTTTTGTATATTGTTGAGAGAGTGACACTAACAAAAGAAACAACAAGTAATTTATAAAATTGTTTGAAATGTTGGTTTGTTTACTATTTTATTGGTAAGTTAACATAACTTAGTTTTAAAAAAAATAAGTAATGATCTCTGTGTATTAATAAGCTCACAAATAGTGATTATTTTCAAAAGATCTTTTTGTAAATTTTTTTTATTCAGGGCCTTGTGAGAATTTCATGTTTCTATTTCTTCATGTATTTTCAAGTGTTTTTCTTTCTTTTCTTCAGTACCCAATCATTGTATAGTGTGTAATTCATAAAGGGTAAGAAGTAATCATGAGTTGGTTGAGACTTGATTATGATCTAGCTAGCACTTGGAGGAGGGATGTTCCGACTTGATCTCCACATTTCCCTGACCATAATATTAGTTTGGCGCCTCTCAGTACCTTTAACTTCTTTATCCACAGAGGTTCATGATCTCACACCAAACAGGAATGTCACTTTGAGGGTCAAGGCAGAACTGAGAGAACTTGACTACAGTTGCTCTCTATACGGTTTCTGTTCAAGCTGCCAGTGTAAAATAGTGTTCAGTGGGGATCCCCTTGATTAAACTGTTTTGAATTGAGTAGATCAATATAAAAATGCTTTGGGAATGTAAGTTTTGACATTCTATAGGACAACTTTGGTTTTGGAACTGATTTCTGTTGTCCACATGGCACTCCACTTAAGATAGTTGATTCCCTTAAAATAGTCATCCGTGGGATTAAGAGAAATGTAAAATAATACTTCGACTATAACCTTAACCTCTTCATTTCTAGCACAATACTTTTAACCCTCATACTAAGACACATTGATTGATGTTCAGTAAAGTAACTGGAACATTATATGATCCCTTGAGGTGTTTGCTTTTTCTGTGGTGCCAGCTGTCAGTCCCGGGCCTCACATGTGTGAGGAATGTATTCTGCTGAGCTGCCTCCCATGCTCCCTCCTTGAGGTTTTTGAATAACTGTATATTTGGAAATTAATCAGTGCTACACTACAGGACAGATCTGGTAAATATTATATTTGTATATTTAGAGTTACCAAGACAAATGTACTTCACCTAATTTCTAACCCTGTGTGTAGAGCAGTTGCATGTTCTCTTGCTTTTTAAATCACATTGCTAATTTGTTGGGTTGCACTCAGTAATGACTTAGGATAACCATCTTTTCCCATTCATTCCATATTAGGTATCTTTCTTTTCATCATACGCAGATTTAAATTAGGTAGTCAGTAAAACATTTTTAACTCTCACAAGCCAATTTTGTCTCGCTAATTTGAATGCCTTCACTCTTTATTTTTTAGTATTAGAGATTATAGATAAAAGGACTTATGTGAAGAATAAGGTCAGTATTTTTTAAATAGTTTATAGTTCTGGAAACACTGCTTTCAACAATTGAACTTCTCCAAAATAGAGAAATAAATAATTCCCGTCTGTGTATGGCTTGTATTCCCAAGATTTTTAGTTCACTTTTGGGATGTGGGACACATTTTCTTCAAAAAGACAATAATACTAGGTTCTTTGTGAGCTCAATCACAGAAGTTCATGTAGGAGTCTAATTCCCTTTGCCATGAATGTACTTCATATGTAATGTCTTTGGCAAATGACTGATAGATCCTGACCAGCACTTGTACCATCACTCTAAGAAAATGGCACGCAGCAGTCAGACTGATATATTGGTGATTGTCTGTTGTGTGTCCCTCTGTCCCTAGATGTAATAAATGTAAAGAAAGCATTCAGTATTGTGAAAGGATGCTAACAAATGAACATTTACAAAACCTGATTATATCTGTTCATAAAACTGTAACAGGTAACTTAGTTTTTGTTGCTAAAGTGAAAACAAGAACTAGCATGTCAGCTTATTTTCAACATCTTGGTCTTATTTGTGGTTTGAATATTTAATCAAATATATTTTTTTCATTTGAAACTAATTTTAAATCTTAGAAGATTTGAAATCTATTAGAAGTTTGCTGAAATGTTTCATCCTTTTAAGACAGACTTCTGACTTACTCATTTTAATGCCAGATTCTGCTCTAAATATTTATGATAAAAGTGAAAATGCATTATTTTTTTAAAAAGCTTGATGCAATTTGTGATAAGTGATAGTCATCAATCTGAACCACACCCTTAATTCTACTTCTGTGACCCATCTTCCTCAAACACTCAGTTGCTCAGTTCTCTTAACTGTAAACACAAACTATATGATCTGATTTAGAAACTTTATTTTCGGCCTTATGGTAGTTAACATGATAACCTTAGCAGTAAATAGACTTCCTTTCTAGAAGGTGGACCACATTTTCTCAAAATACAGCGTTAAATGCGGGTACATTAATACCAGATTAGGATCATGAGCATTTTCCCCACTGTATGAGGCAAATCATGCCTCTCAGAGCACAGTTTCTCCTGGCCGCACAAGAGAACAGCACGCCACGCCACGTACAGCCAGGGGTATTGTGGTTTGAATGGATACCCTCGCTCTTTTCTCCACAAACAGTGCAGAGAGCTGTCTGGAATGGCAATGAACAGATCCCCTGGCGTTCCCTCTGCTTCTTCCGAACTACAGTAAGTAAAAGAACCACACGGGGGAACCCAGAGTCTGAGAAAATGAGCTGTGCTCAAAAGCCAATCTCCCCTTCTAGGAAAACTAGTCCAGATGCAGCTATTTTGGCACCACTTCTCGCACGCACTCCAAATCAGAGCTTTTCTATAGAAACTCCTTCAGAATCAGCAAAGCTGAGGTGTGACGGTCGTCTTGATTTGCAAAATGAAAACACTAGCTTGTCACTCTAAATGAGCAACTCATCTCTGCTGCTTGAAGAGGTTCTGAGAAATCCTTGGAACAAGTTCAGAAGTACAAATTAATTGGGAAAGTTACACTGTTCTTTCTGAAGTTTCCATTCTCAATGTTTGCATTATATGAAATGGCATAAATGCTGCTAAACTGCTTTATATTCTATTAAGAAATAGCTCCTAAAGATACAGTCATGTTTCATAGTTTGTGCACTTCATCAAAGCTTTACAAAGTGTAAACTCACTTCTTCTCTGTACGGACAGGGAGCACTGCTTTATTAGCGAAGTTGTTTATACAAGCTTTGGTTGCCAGCTGTAGTTCCAGCCTTCCACACACGAGTCTGTTCTGAGTTGGCCATAGCACATAGGAAGATGAAATTTCCCTGTTTCTTTACACACTTCCCCCCCCCCCTTTTGGCTGTATCTAATGAAAAACTAAGATGTTCATAATAAAGTTTTATGTTCTTTTTGAAATGTGTAGATTATTTTTTTGTGAATTTGACTATGGGGGTAGGGAGGGGAGAAATTAACTGGGAGAGAAGCACAATACTGGAACTATTTTGAGTTCTCCACTTATGGTGGAGAAACTGCTGAAGTATATTTTCTTTTTGCTGGGCTAGTGGTTCATCGACTTGAGCGAGTATCAGCATCGTTAGAACCTGGAGGGCAAGTTAAACTACAACTACTGCCTTATAACAAAACAAAGTTCGGTGTTATTTTACATTTTAAAGTATCTCAGCACTTTTCGAATATTAGATAATGAAGTCAGTCTTCCAGTTCATTGCTTAGCAGTTCTTGTGTGCAGAGAATAAGACCACGTCTTTGAGTCTTATTGTTTAGTAGTGCTTAACTGCTTTACTGAGTAGACAGAATTTGGTTCCTTGAACTTCTCACTGACCCTACCATACCTGGCCTCCAAAGCAGAATTTGAATTCTGTGTGCTGGGCAGTGCTTGTTAAACTCCTCTGATAAGACTTCTTGGGGCATGTGACGGTCATATACCTACTGAGTCAGAATTTTTTATTAACTGTTAGTTGGGAGATCTAGCCATTGAGCCAGTGCCTAGTTCTCCATTCTGTGATGGCTTCTGTAACTTTATGCAAATTTAGGTGCTTCCTATCCTTCTGAAGCTCCCTAACCCCTTTATGCACTAAATTTTAACAGTGAAATCTATATCCTTCATTTCATTTCATTTCATCATCCTGTTATTCGTTGATTGCCTCGAGCAGGCCCCAGTAACGTCTCTTTCATCCTAACTCTGAGATTATATTCAAGGCTATTTAGTAGAATGAGACCCATCATTGTTACTGGTATTTGGCATATTTGGTACGCCACGGGGAGTTTGCCAGGCTGTGGGCAGGCTACATTGATAGCCTGCAAGTTTGTCCAAAGTAGGAATGAGATGATAAGATGTCATAAAAGATGTCCTGATAAGATGTCCGGGAGCTGGATTTTATAGAGATCAGGGCGATCTGGAGATCAGGGCGAGTCTCTGCCTAGGGGTGATGACAGACACTTTTCAGGTAGAAGCTGCATTTACTGCTTATAAGATAGCTTTCTGCCTCTAATAAGAAACACTTTAACACTTTCCCTATATTGTCTCTTTTGGTAGAGGGGATAAAGGGGGGCTTCCCTCACTGGCTTAGGAGGTGTAGGGGTCTCCAGATTTTTCTCGTACAACCAGGTTTAGATTTAGCACTGGGCCTAAGGATGCAGTGCTCTCTGGCCCTGCAGTGTCGGGGATTCCCAGGGGTACTCCCACAATGCCTTGGGACCTCTAGGGTCACACTTAGTGTGCAAAGCAACCTGCAGGGCTGCGTGGCTGTGCTGGGGGGCGAGGTGGGGGCATGTGGTTACCAAGGATTGAACCAAGGTGAGCTGAATGCAAGGCAAGCACTCTAACCTCTGTACTATCTCTTTGTCCCCTGTATTGATCTATATCCTTAGATTCTGTTTTAGAAAATATGGAATCTAGACATCAGCATTTAAACAAGCTTCCCAGGGGAGGAGGAGATGATTCAAAGGGCTGGCACACAGGGGGGACTCTGGGTCCTCTACCTAGCATCACATGGTGTGCCGAGGCACCATCTGGATCCACCCCCTAGCTCCCTGAGATGGGGCTCAAATCCCCTCAAAAACAAAAAAATTAGCCACACAATTGATTCCCAGAGATTCCACGTTAAGAAACTGTGTCCTCTGAACTAAATTGCAGTTTATATAGCACAAGAATTATGGCTCACATAAAGTTCTACTGAAAGATTGGGACCTGTGAAAACTAACATCCTGTTGGGGTTTTCTATTTTCAATGGAAGATGTATAGCAATTTTTAGTGTACTCTGGTGTTAATTACTTTGATGATTAATGAATTGTGAAACTGTCATCATCTGTCTTCAGAACTTTGTCACATTAAGCAGTAACTCCCTAACTGCCCCAGCTTCCCACAAACGCCATTCTATTTTCTTTCTCTATAATGCTGACTTCTTTAGATATCGTATGTAAGCAGAATTATAAAATATTTGCCTTCTTGTAATTACCTCATTTAATGTAGCATAATGTCTTCCATTCTGTAATGGAATGAGCCTGAAATTTTTTTTTTTTTAAGGCTGAATACTAGGGGTGTGTGTGTGTGTGTGTGTGTGTGTGTGTGTGTGTGTGTGTGTGTGTATTCTGCTTCTCCTTTCACTTGTTGATCGTTGCATTGCTCTTACCTGCAGTGGATATAAGCTGTACGTAAGTGTACAAATATCTGTGCATAATCCCTGCCTTGATTTCTAGTTTTTTTCAAAGCAATTATTTGTCTTCCTATCAACAGTACAGAATTGGAATAAATTATTGGTAAGAAGTAGTCTAGAATAAGATTTAATAAATTCCTGCTGTGTTTGAGGTAAATGTTAAATCTTTTGAGTATATAGAGATTACTCAAATACGTGTGTGCAGTGTAACTTTTTCTAACCCAGACCTACTGAATAAAAAAATCCAAATCTGGGAACCAGGAGTGTTATCTTTTTAGCAAGTTCTCTTTGCATTTCTAATATATTCTCAGATTCTATATTTGTTTGTGACCAGTCTTCTAGGTATCCAATCACCATTCCTCAAAAAGATTCTCTTGTCATTGTGAAAACCTTTAAAGGAGTTTGTCCAGTAATAGCAATTGTAAGGGGCCTAGATAATCACTTAAAATGCTCATTTTGAGCTTGTGCTGAATTTGATCCCTGGCACTTTATGATTCCTGAGCACCACTGGACCCTGACATTGAACCATGGCACGGTTTGGCTGGGCATCACCTTAGCCACCTGAGCATGCTTGGGAACCCCCCTGAATAAAAAAAGCAGTTACGAAAAAGCATGCTATACTGATTAGCACAAACCGCGTCTCATCTGTCTTACTTTCACTCTTAGGCATCCCACGATACACCATGGCAAATTTCTCCATAGTTTACTTTATTTTTCTGTCAAACGTCTTAAATTCATATGAGGGAGAGTGAAGGGGAACAAATGCAGGCTGGGATCTGGCCATCCGCTGCCTTATCTAAAAGATCTTTAGTTCTTAGTCTAATTATATTACTGCAGTTGCAGCCATTTTAGCTGCTGAACTCTCCTTGACTTTATTTCAAACCTGTAGGATGGCATCAGAATTAGAAACTGTGTTACTGTCTTTCTGATGAATGACTAACTGAAGTGGAATCTAAAATGAATTTTTAGAATTGCACATTTCACATTTGAATGCTGTGTACCATAGGAATGGTTTAAGAACTGAAATTTTGAATTAACCTTCATGACATCATGTAGAACTGTTGATTTGCTCGGTTTTATCAGAAGAATTGGGGGCTGGAGAGATAGTACAGTGGGAAAGGTGCTTGCCTTGCACATGGCCGACCTGACTTCAATCCCTGGCATCCCATATGATCCCCTGAGCACCGCCAGGAGTGATTTCCTGAGTGCAGAGCGAGGACTAACCCCTGAGTATCACCAGCTGTTGTCCAAAAACAAAACAAAAAAAAAAAGTAAAGAAAAAATACCAAAAAATTCAATTGTATTGTTTGAGTAGTTATATCAGCTTTTTATTGTCTTTAGTTTGCTCAGACAAATTTTAATTTTAGTTATGAAAATACAAGTTGTTATTTTTCAGTGCAGCAATATAGGTTTTTTTGGTTTTTGTTTGTTATTTTTTTGGCATTCTGGGTCACACCCACGATGCTCAGGGTTTACTCCTGACTCTGCACTCAGGAGTTACTCCTGGCATGCTTGGGGGGCCATACAGGATGCCAGGGATGGAGCCCTGGTTGGCCGCATGCAAGGTACTCTACCTACTGTACTATCACTCTAGCCCCAAGCAAGGCAGTATTTAGAAAGGGGAGGCAGATATGCATAGAGACAAAGCAAGTGAGATACTCTGTCAAGGAAGAACACAGTCTTGAGAGGGCAAGCCTAGAAATGCAAATTAATGAGAGACTTTTATCCCTTCTTCCCACTCACCTGCCTTTTCTTTTCCTGATGCTAGGATTAGGGGACAACACTTTGTATTCACCAGTATTTTCACACTTAGTTTTGGAATTTGCATACCATATTGCATTGTGCAGGGTGACACTGGAGATTACAGTGGCAGTGCCACCAGGGTGGTGTCAGGGATTGAATGCCTTCAAACGGTTGCTCCACTGCTAATCTACCGGGGGCACTAAATGAGCAGTTTAATGAGGTTTAAACCATACCTCTCCTTTCTTAGCTCTTGATATTTATGTTATACATTTTTTTAAAAATTCTTTTCAATGAAATACCATGATTTGCCAAGTTGTTCATAATACAGTTGTGCCAGACATTCAGTGTTCCCACACCAGTCCCACTGCCAGTTCATCAATGTCCCTGGTTTCCCATCCACCTCCAAGCCTGCCCCCTTAGCAGGCCCTAATGAATTTACTTTAAAATTGCTTGTTACAACACATATCTCACAATGGAGTTACTAAAGTCATTGTGGATTTCCTGGGCTGTTAGGAATAGTTGAGCCTTCTGTTTTATTGTTTCCACTCATTGAACTTAATGGGCTTCTATGCAACTTTCCCATCTACTTTTCTGTGCTCCTTCCTGCTGGGCTGTCAGTGCTGTGAAGTTTGTTGCATGGTTGCATGTGTGGCTGCGCTCCAGCACCTGTGGGGCTGGACCCAAGGATGTTGGGTGTGGGTGAGGCCCTGGGCCTCTTGGCGGGGCCTGACACCCCCCTTCTCCCCCCAAGAATACTTAAAAGGTTTCAGCCGGGAGCCCAGGCTTACCTGGAACAACTCAGCAGCGGCAAGATTAATCCTAAACGTTACAAAATTTGTAGTACTTTTATGGCCTTAAGGTACTAGAGAATTCACAATGCTGTTTGATTCTTTTTATGATCTGGGTGTAACTATAACAGCCTTTACGTGGGAAGTGGTGTCTTGGTTGTGGTTTTGTGATTTGAACTGCCAGCGTGCAGCTGGTGTGTGATTACTGAGG